CAATTTTAGCAATTAAAATACTGTGAATATGACTGAGGAACCTAATGAAGGTGCCGAAAGGCTGGATCAAGTAATTATAGGCTTTTAGGAGTTTAAAAAAACAAAACAAAACTTCGAAGTCATCTGGTCCAACTCTAATTTTATAAATGAGATCCTGAGAAGTTAAAATAATGTGCATAAGGATCGGACACCAGCTGGCACAGAACTTCTCCTGTCTCCCGGTGCTATTTACCTTTATGTCATATGGCATAGGAAGAGAATGTTTTCAGGAATGTAACATGCCATAAACTGAAGTTGGATTGGCTGGTTATGGAGTCATCATTGATTATGAAATGTCTCTCAGATTTAACTTTTACTTATCCCACTGACCAACTGACCTCTACTAGATCTCCACTGATGGCTTTCAAGTTTAACCAAGTTGGTATTTCTCAGTAAGTGTCTCGTTGATTTTGGTCTCCTAAACTTCTCTCATGTCCTTCCTCCCACCCCACGACCCCTCCCCAATCTGCCAAGACTTTGAGCTCTCTTCACTATTCTCTATGATTCACCTTCTCTGAGAAGCCTCCTCTGCTTCCTTGTCTTCCCATCAATGTTTATCTTGCTTTGATTTGCCCAGTACTTATGTTCAATTCTTTCCTTCCTATCAGAAAAGATTCATTTATTGTCTGGCTGTTTCTTAGATCCCCAAAGGACAAGATAAGTTGTTTCTACTTTTTTTTTTTTAAGATTTTATTTATTTATTCATGAGAGACACACAGAGAGGCAGAAACACAGGCAGAGGGAAAAGCAGGCTCCCTGTGGGGAGGCTGATGTGGGACTCCAGTCCCAGGACCCTGGATCACACCCTGAGCCGAAGGCAGCCACTCAACCACTGAGCTACCCAGGCGTCCCTGTCCCTCTACTCACTTTTATTTTTTATGGTGCCTGAGATAATGCTATGTTCCACTAAACACCAAATATTTGTTAAAGGAACAAACCATGTTAATTAACTGCTACCAAAGAGAGATTTGTTGGTAGAGAATGAACTAAAAATCACCTTCATCTGTTAAATTATTCTGAATTCTCAAAGACTAACAAGTCACATGCACATGAGTTTGATAGTCTGTCAAAAAACTACTTCAGTGGTTTTACTTTATCAAAATATTGGTCCAGTGGTTCTTAACCCTGGCTGCTCACTCAAATTAACTTGGAAGCATTTACAGCTATCAATACCTCACCACAGATCAACTGAATCAAAATCTTTGCAGGTATGCCCAAGCAATGATGTGCATATACCACATTGGTATTTGATTTGCACATACTGATTTATACAACCCCACCCTTATTAATACATTTTTCTAAAGAATAAGCATGATCTAACATGGTTTTGTTCTTAGAATCACAGAATTCTAGAACTGAAAGGGAACTAAGATATTATTTGAACTAACCCCTTATTTTACAGCTAAAGACTCTGTGACTTAAGAGAGATTGAAAGAGTAGCCTGACACAGCGGCAAGTGACTATTGAGTGACAGGTCATATCCTGAATTCGTGGAATTCTCAGAACTCCAGTCCTAGAGCTATAGCAAGTACATCAAACTTTTCAGTTTTTAAATTTCCACTTTCTTCTATAGAAAATGTGTAAAAATTAGTGTGTAAGATTCGGATTTTAAAAGCTGTTAGTACCAGGTACTCCTTAAAGACCAGTCTGACACATTCCGTCTAGCCCATTGTCATGGCAGAGGAAATGCCACAGCAGGACATATCAAAGTCCAAAAGAAATAACTAGTATTATTTGCAGGTTTTTTTCATTGGCCCTGATCCATAACATTTTACGCTATCAGAGCCCAGAGCACTTCTAGCCCTTAACTATACCACTTATTAGCAGACTTATTGCTTGTGAGCAAGCTAATCAACACCCTGAACTTCCCTTTTCTCTGTAAAAAAGATCTCTATAAAAAGGAAGATAATGCCTGTCCTCTTGACCTTGCATTTTTCAGCTATTAGAAAGATTAAATCAGATGTTCTACGTGGAGATAGGTGAAAATAGTAAAGCATTGTGTATATATATGTATAGAATTACATTACAATCTTTCAGAGCAATGATTTGTGAATAATTATGTGTTGCTTTGATTACCTGGGCTCTAAATCCTAATTCCTGGGTACCGTGCCACCCAAGAATCAACAGGAACTGGAGTTAGTGCTAGACTAGAAGCTCTAGTCACTGAAAGGATCACATAACTAAATATTCAGGGAGGTAAAGTGACGTAGCAACCAGGGTTTAGCTAGTCTAGGCTTTAGTCCCAGAGTCTGCTTCTAACTATTGATTTTGGACAAGCTACTTAATTTTTCTGGGACCAGAGTCTCGTCAGTGGTCAAAGGATGACTTGAATTAGAGTCAAAGATCCTTTTGATTTATAAAATCAGAATATTAGTGCTTAATTAAAATCACTAAAGTGCAATTTCCCAAGTTGTTAATTGATGTGGTTTCATGTTTTGTTTTTTTTTTTTTTAATATATCTCTTTTTAGAAGTACAGGGTTGGAGCCTAAAAACATAAGCCTATTTCTGGTAAACAGACATTTTGACCACATTTGTTAAGACCCTACTTAAAAGAAACATCTCAACTCAGATACTTTATGTTTGTTAGTATCCTGTCCTGGTGCCCTTGCTCCAAAAATAAACACGTTTGCCCAAAAGGCATGTGATACACTACTGGACACAGAGTAGGCACCCAAATACTGTTACCTTACAGCTCTCCATCTGAGTCCTAGCTCTTGTTACTTAGCTCATCTGGGACTGTTTTCTTATCTATAAATGGGAACAGTACCTTCCTCGATGATCCACTCAGATAGTTCATAAAATATTAAAATATTTTGTAAACTGTTAAAAACAATTGCAAGATATTACTATTACCTAAGGAATGTAGTTTATTATACTGTGACCTCTCTAAGAAGTCTACTTTTTTAAAAGAGATAGATTAAAATCTTTCGGCAGGGCAGGCCTGGTGGCGCAGCCGTTTAGCCTGGGGTGTGATCCTGGGGCCCCTGGATCCAGTCCCACGTCGGGCTCCCTGCACGGAGCCTGCTTCTCCCTCTGCCTGTGTCTCTGCCTCTCTCTCTCAATCTGTGTGTCTCTCATGCATAAATAAATAAAATCTTTAAAAAAATAATAAAATAAAATCTTTCTGCATTAGTTATGGACACAGCACCTGCTCCAGGGCCTGGCTCAACCGACACAACACGCTCAGAAAGTGTCTGCGCATGGAAAGTATACCCCACAGAAAGACCCAAACTCCATAGATTCCATAATTCTTTTTTTTTATCTCCAGACTCCTAGAGCTAGCACAGAATCTCTCACACACACACACACACACACACACACACAGAAGAAATACAACAGTTGGGAGATGAGTGAATTTCTGTCCCCTCTAGTTCCTCTTCAGCTCAAGAGGTAGACATGGGCAGAAGAGGCATCCGGGACGCGCTTTGGTAAAGGCTGCTTGGCATGGAACTGGCAATTACTTGGAAAATTCACCCACTAACGCTTAGCTTGGGAGAGCAAAGAGTGCAGACTCGGAGTTCACCCTCAGTCTCCAAACTGCCGAATCTTGGCCACTTAATCTGTTTCCCCGTTTGAAACGAGGATAAAATGAGAACAGGGTTAAGCAGCAGGGTGTTAGCTCGCTGGGAGGGGCTTCTCGGGCTCACTGCGCGACCAGGGCGCGGCACAGCCCAGGCTCCCCGGCGCTCGCCGGCCGACTCGGTGGGCCACCGCCCGAGGCGGCGGCACGGGCGACGCACGGAGCACACGCGAGCCCTCCACGCCCGCCTCCCGCCCGCGCCACCCTCACCGCTGGGGCGGCAGCCCACCCCGGCCGGCGGCGGGCGGGCGGGCGGGCGGGGCGGCGGGCGCGGGCGGCGGCGGGCGGGCGCGGGGCGGCGGGCGGGGGCGGGCGGGCGCGGGGCGGCAGCTGCCTCTGGGCAAAAAGACCCGGACTTCAATCGAATTCCCCGTTTACCAGCCCTGTGACTTAGGACAAACTGCGCAACCTATCCGGGCTCCTCGGGTTCCACAAAAAATCTCCGTGTCGGGAGAATCCGGTAAGCTGCACGGCGACCACCTGCCGCGGAGTCGTGGCAGCGACTACTGCTAAGGCAGAAAAAAAAAAAAAAAAAACAAAACATTTATCCAGATAATTGCCTGCAATTTCCCACATTACTGCAGCTGAATACATAACACGACCGCAAACAAGGGGAGGAAGGAAAGAATTTCAAAGAGACCGAAACCGCTAAATGAGAAAAAGAGGGAATTAAAACAGTGCCCGGCAGTTCCCACCAAGGGTGCCAGTTTCCGCGACTGTCAACCTGCCTGACCAGCCAGGGGAGAGCAGGACCGTCAGCTCCGACCGGAGCACAAAGGAGGCAGGGCCGCCGCTTACACCCTCCCCCTAACGGTCTCCTGGCCGCTGGCCTTCGGCGGCCGCGGGACTCCCGTTTCCGGCCCTAGCTGGACCACAGCTCCCGGCATGCCTTTGGCGGGAAGTCTTTCCCGCTGGATGACTACTAATCCCGGCATGCCATTCGGCACTCCAGTGAATTAGATGGGAGAGAGGCAGGACCCCCGCGAACGCAGGGAATTGTAGTCCACGTAGCTGCCGGCTCTTAGAGGGGCGGGAAGAGCCGGGTCGCTCCCGTCAGCTGAGGAGAATGATTCATAGAGGAGGGTCAGGAGAGAACAGTTGTGTGTGCAAGAGCCCACTTAAAAGGCTGGACTCTTCTTCGAGGGAGGGAGAGGCAGGAGAGTAAGCGAGGCCTCGGGCCTGACCCCGCCTCAGGCCGCTCGTCCGGCCTCTCCCGAGTCCTGGGCCTTGTCGGGGGCGGCCGCGAGGCGCCGGTTGCTGGGGGACCGTGACGTCGCGGGGTGAAAGTTGAGGGGCGGTGACGTCGGCCCTGCCCGGGCGGAGGCTGGCGGGTTGGAGGCAGGAGGGAGGGAGGGAAGGAGGGAAGGAAGGAAGCTGGGAACGAGCGAGCGAGCGGGGGCGCGAGGCGTTTACCTGGAGGCAGCGGCTTGGGCGCGCAGAGCGGCCGCGGCTCCCCCGCACCTGCGGCCATGGATGAGGAGCGCGCCCTCTACATCGTCCGGGCCGGCGAAGCGGGGGCTATCGAGCGGGTCCTGAGGGATTACAGCGATAAGGTAAAGAGCCCTGGCCCTGGGCGTGCGGTAGAGCACCCCCGGGCCGCCCTCGGGGCTTGCACATCGCATCCCTCCCAGCCCCCTTCATTCCGGGGATGCGCGTTGCTCTCCCCCGAAAACGTTTCCGGCTTGGGCATGCGTGTTTGTGCCCCCAGCCTTTCGCGTCCGTGCATCCTGCATCCCCCTGCCCCCACTCTGGCGCCCACTCCTCTGATTCCGGCCCAGCAGCCTGTCCTGCGGTCCTCCTCCCAAGCGTGCAAGTCACACCCCCGGAATCCGTAGATGTGCGTCTGTGCCCTGTGCCCCGCTCGGGGATGCATACATGCACGCGAGGCTTCCTCACCTGTATAGCATGAAAATCCGTGTTTCCGTGCTTAAACACGGCCCTTGACGTGCATAAAACCTATCAGCCACGATGGCAGTTCTTTGTATACCTACAGCACTATACAATTTCCAAGGCTTGATGTCTCATGTATGGTCTAACTTGATTCTCAGAGTGTTTATAGGGTAGATGGTGTCATCCTCCCCATTTTATAGATGAGAAAACCGAGGCGCTAAGAACTGAAATCACGCCAAGGTCATGGACATACTGTGTTGTAAGTGGGGGGGGGGAGATTCTGACTCCTAATAATACCTATTATTTGTATCGCATTAACAGCTTTCCCTCCATTATCTCATTTAATCTGGACAGCAGCCCTGCGAGGTTTTATCTTCGTTTTGCAATTGAGATTCTATATCAGTTAAGTAACTTGCCCAAGGTCATACTTGTGAGCTGGGATTCCAGCCTAGGTCTTCAAACCATTCATTGTTCTTTCCACTTTACAACTCTCCAGTAAAAAGATACCTTGTTATAAATCCCAGTCACTTCTCTGAATGTTTCTCCAAGAACCGTTAGCTCTCCATCACTTTTCCTTCCAGGCATTTTACATGCTTACTTCAAAAGGTAGCATATCACAACTTTGTTCTTCCATTTAGAAGACTACTTAATAGGAATGACTGACGACTCACTTCTGTGAAAATACACTCAACACCAAGTCTCAGCCTAGATAAAGCATCTTTCTTCCTTTCACTTGCTTCCACTCATAGCTTCCCCTTCTGGGTTTGCTATGTGTTCAGCACTGCACTGTCTTATACTTTGTATGATTGAGCTGCCAGTGTGCCATTTCTGCCCTGGGGGGGAGAAGATCCAAAAATAAGACAGCTTGATTTCCATTTAATCTTCCCAATAACCCTGTGAGGAAAGTGGTGGTATTCCCCATTTCATGAACAATATTTAGGATAATGTTGGCCCAAGTCCACACATTCATTGAGAGATGGGGCTGAGATTTGAATCTAGGTTGTCTGACTGCACTATCTACAGTACTGTGCTGCTTTCTTTGGGAGGATGTATGGATGGATTCAATTCTGTCTGTATCTTAGCTCCTTCACTTTCTAATATGCTTTACTGTTGCATGTCTGCCTAATTTAGGAACAATTCTTTTAATGAATACGTGTACATATTGTGAAGATTATATTCATTTAATTTGATTTATAACCCCTTTCAAAAAAAAATGTGAGGCAACTACAAACTGATTTTCAAAAGAAAGAGTGTTGAATCAATCAGTATTTATTTTTGCAATTACTATATGCCAGATATCCAACAATAAATAAGAACTTTCTTCTCTAGTAAAGGGAGGAGTTGAAAAACCTCCAACTGGATCTTACCACTTTCTTCAATATTTCTCCTTCCTTTCATGGCTAAACTGATTAGAACTCCAGAGTTGCTCCCTTGAATTTATCTCTTCCTCTCCTTGATCTCCCTCTAGGTTGGTTTCTACTGGCCAAGTGCTGTCAGAGCTTAGTTTCTGGGTATCTCCAGCTCCCCTTTCACATTGGGAATGTTTCTAAAGTTGTAATGCCCAGTGTATATCATTTAAGGTGGTATTCCTGAAGTACTTTTGGGCTGCGCCTAAGAATGCTCTGACTTGACGTGAACCAGGTCAGTCTGCTCCTTCAGAAAAGAGCTGTCATGTTTAATGCTGATTATAGTAGGGCTACCATACAAAGAAAATAGCTGAGGTTCATGTAGTCCGTGGGGCTTTGCCCCTCAAGGCAAGAGAGATCTTGGAGGCAGATGAATAGGAAGGAGAAGTGTGATTGCAGTGATCTGGCAATAAAAATGGGGAGGTGGAATTAAATTGCCTGGCTCTATGGGATATGGAGTCTGAAACCTGTGTGCTTGATTTTCCTTATCTGGAAAAACAGATTTGAGAAATGTTTAGAATAAAAGGTGATTATGGGGCATTGAGACACTATCTAACCAAGAACAGAAATGAATGATGTACAAAAAAAGTGACTTGTTCATTATTTGGAGGAGGAATTTCTTTATGCTACCTTTATTTCTCTAGTAAAGCTAGAACTTGGGACAGTTCTAGAAAAAGTAGCTGAATACTGTGTGCTTGATTTTCCTTATCTGGAAAAACAGATTTGAGAAATGTTTAGAATAAAAGGTGATTATGGGGCATTGAGACACTATCTAACCAAGAACAGAAATGAATGATGTACAAAAAAAGTGACTTGTTCATTATTTGGAGGAGGAATTTCTTTATGCTACCTTTATTTCTCTAGTAAAGCTAGAACTTGGGACAGTTCTAGAAATACAGCGTACACATTTGAGTAGAGTATGTAAATATCCTGGACCATGTAAGAGGGCTTTTTGCTTTCCACTTTGAGGTTGAATTCTGACTCTTTGAATTCATTCCACAGATTTTTGCAGAGGAGCATGTTTAATGGGTTATTGCCTCTAAATAGTGGAAAGAAGGTAGAATTTAAAGTCAGATAAATCTTGGTTCAAATCTGCCTTTTGGGCAGCCCCGGTGGCTCAGTGGTTTGGCGCCGCCTTCAGCCCAGGGTGTGATCCTGGAGACCCAAGATCAAGTCCCACATCGGGCTCCCTGCATGGAGCCTGCTTCTCTCTCTACCTGTCTCTTCTCTCTCTCTCTCTCTCTCTCTCTCTCTCTCTCTCTGTCTCTCATGAATAAATAAATAAAATCTTAAAAAAAAAAAACAAATCTGCCTTTTACTGGCTTCATGACTGTGGATGTTATTTTAAGCCTGAGTCTTGGCTTCCTTATCTGTAAAATAGGGATAATATTACCGAAGTTATTATGCAGCTAAGTTAACCAAAGTTTAATGCTGTACACTGAGCAGAGTGCATCTAGGAGGCATTTACTCAGTGAGTTTTAGTTCTAATGAGCAACGTACTCAAGAGGTCCTGTGGCTCTGGAGCCATACTGCCTGGACTCTAATCTTCAACTTATCATTCATTTGGCCTAGGACAAGTTACATGACTTTGTTGTGCCTCAGTTTCTTCACTTGTCAAACAGGGACAATAATAGTACCTACAGCATAGGTTTGTTGTCAGGATTAAGTGAGTTATATGTCTAAAGCACTTGTAACAGTGCCTGTTACTGTAACTGTTAGTTTTGAACAAAAAAGGCAGGAATTAAACATGTAGCACTGAGTTGATGTGGCTTGGTAAAAAAAAAAAAGAAAAAAGAAAGAAAATTGAAGAATATATATAAAAAAAAGAAAAAAAAGAAAATTGAAGAATATACTTCTATCCTTTCTCTTTTCCCCTGACCCTTACATTTTCTAAAGCGTAGCAAAATACCTTGTACCATGTTTAGAGCCACAGTTACCTATCTGGCTCCAGGTAGCAACATCTAATTTCTACTGTGTTACAGAGACTTTAATTTTCAAGCCTTCTTCCTTCATATACTGACTCTTGTTATTCTGGGGAGAGGGAAGATCTATCTATCTCAGAAAAAAAAAAAAGAAAGAAAGAAAGAAACTTGTCTGTTTTTCAAGGGCATAATGCAAGTTGACCCAGCACAGGAAAGTATTAAAAAACAAATAGGAAGAGTGGTTGTTCTTTTTCATTTGTCTCAATTCACCTGTTAACCTGTATTGAGTGCTTGCTGTGTACAACATATTACCTATCCCAAGCCCTTTCATATGTCATCACATAGAATCCTCATATTAAAACTTACAAGGGAGATAGCAGTATTCTCTTTTAGTGGGGCATAGGAAATTGAGGTTCAGAAAGACAAAGTGACTATCTATGGGCTCAAGGGCACAGCTAGAAGTGGCAGACCTAGTCTTTAGATTCCATATCCAGCGCTTTTTTTTTTTTTTTTTTTGCAAGGTCAGGTTGTCTTTATCCTGTCTATTCTATGTTTTTGAGCATGGAAGAGAAAAAGGTTTTCAGGACCAGTACATTTTTTCCTTTGGTTACTGTTAGGTCCTAATCACCTCCACTCCAGTTATAGAATGAGTTATTAATTATGGGTGGTATGGATTGTGCTAGTGTAGGCTGTTCAGGCTCCTCCTCCATCAAGGCCTGTTCTGATAACAGATGTAGTAGAGAGATTAGTTGCCATCATTATGATTATCAGAACAAACAATGATCAAGGGCCCCAAGGTGTATAGTAGTATCTTAGTTCCTTGAATCACAGGATATTTAGACTAGAAGGAATTTCAAAGGTAACTGGATCTGTCCCCCCCCTTCAGTTAAGAGGTGAAGAAGCTGAGACCTAGAGTCATCAATTATGATGATAGCCAGATAAATGGCTTGGTGGCCTTAGAGGCTCCCTGGGCATATGATTACTCCATATCAAACTCCAGCAGGATTCCATTTTGTAAAAATGGCAAATTTATGACGAAATTAAAGATAAAGTTATTTAAGATACAAGCAGATAGGTAGGTCTCCAAGAGTAGTCCTCATAGAGAGGAAAATGACACTGATAGCAGTGAGGTCTTCATTTATGTCCTAGAACAATCTGATTAATAGGGACCTAATATTGACACAGTTCTAGAAATGCAGACTACACATTTGAATAGGGTATGTAAATATCCTGGACCATGTAAGAGGACTTTTTGCTTTCCACTTTGGGGATGAGATCTGACTCTGAGCTCATTCCACAAATTTTTGCAGAGGAGCATGTTTAGTGAGGTGTTCCTTTGTTATACCTTGTTCTTGTTTCCAGACTGGATTATATAATCTCAGTTACTGGAATTTAGTTCTAGGAGTAATCTCTTCGTGAAACACAGCACACAACACACACACACACACACACACACACACACACACACCGCACCCCCGTTAGGCTAATTCCCTTATATCAGTACTGTTTTAATGTATCTTCTAAAATGTGAAATAACTCCTCTTAATTCACTGATAGGTCAGTACTTGGCTAGATGCCACATCACAGGCCATGCTATAATAACAATAGTGGCCACTTAATGAACACCTGCTATGTGCAAGGTGCCATACATAAAAGATAAGGAAACTCTGACAGGTAGTAAAGTTGAATAACTTGACCAAGGTCACACTTGTAGTAAACAGCGGAACTGTACTCAAACCCAGTGCTTTCTGACTCCTGAGCTTTTTAGAGCCTACTCATAGGATATAAAATCTATGGGGAGGAGTCCTCTTAAGTCTGGTGTGTCACTCAGCTGTTTCTACTTTACTTGGTCTCTAAATTGAACAATGGTTTTACTCTTTAGTTTATATTTGACTTGCTGCTCCTGTTCATCTGGAAATTAAGCACATAAAGCTGAGGTGGTTGACTGTTGGTTAGCAGTTCTGTAAAGGTATTTACAGCCAGAAATGCTAGTTCCCCTTCCCTTCCCGCCTTAGAAAAGGGATAGAATAAGGGCTAGAAGTACTGAATAGATTAGGTACAATCTAAGTTGTATAAAAGAAACCAGCCTTAGAGAGGCCAACATCTTTGGATCCAAACAGTCTTAGAGGGCTGAACTTCTGAATAGATTGGCACATTCAAAATTCAATTTGTATTGCCTCACATGCCAGTATATTTTCTAATTGAATTAAGCCCTCATGCTAGTTAGGACTTTTGAAAGCTTTTCTTTCTTTCTTTTTTAATGTTGTGGTTTTATGACCGGATCAGCCTTGCATTTAAAGGCAACAGAAGATTTAGTCCTTGGTACTCTTCTAAATTATCACCTTAAAAGATAAATTCTATGTAGAATCTGTTTAATAGATATATTTATAACTTAATGCGGGTCTTTCTAAAAGATGATTTCTTTCTCTGTTCCTTTACCATAAATGCCAGAGAAAGTTTAGGAAACCATTATATTGGCAACTAGGTTCATTTATTCCAGATAACTTATGGAATTAATATTTCACATATAATGGCAAAAAAATAGCTTTCTTGGTTTCTAAGTACAGTTTATTTTCACTTGTATTGGACTTTTTCTCAGCTTCAGTTTACAACCTTAGCCTGATGTCTGCTGCTTCTTTATCTAAAGTTAGTTTTTACTAAACCTCCCCTATAAATTCCTGAGTTATCTAATTCAGATTTACAGCTTGTTTTCCTTTCTTCTCTTTTCTTTCTTTCCTTATTCATTCATTTGTTTATCTTTTATTTTTAAAATTTCCCTTTTAATTTTAAAAATAATATACCAACAGTAAGTTTTGTCAAAGACATCACCAGAAACTCTACCACCCCTATACAGTTGCTTTTATTTTTGCATTTTAACACTCAAGCCTTTGTTCGAATGCATCCATATACTTATGCAGGTACTGTCATCATAGACATTTAGCTTGGTGTTTTACTATTTTTCCACTTGATGCCATTATAAGTAATTTTCTATGTTGTTACAGAGATCTTTAGCTATTTTTTGTTTTAATTGCAATATATTTCATCAGGTGGATGCATGGCAGTTTATTTCATCAGTCTCCTGTTGTTAGATATTCAGATTCTCTCTTTCTACCATAATATTAGATAACATTGTAGTAAATATGCTTATATTTTTCTCTCCTTCTGGATGATCTCATTAGGATAAATTCCTAGGAGAAGTTCTGCGTCAAAGGATATGAATATTTTTATGTTTTCTAGTATATGTTACCAAACTACTTTCCCTTTTAGAGTTTATGTCAGTTTATACTGCTGCCAGCAATATCACACCTAGATTATTGATGCCCATTTCTTAGAAGGCTTTGTGTCCTCAGTCTTGCTCTCCTTTGATCTGGTCTGTAGGCAACTGTCCAAAATATTCTTCCAGAATGCTCTACTGTTCACACCTCTCTAAGAATCTTCCTCTGGTTGCCTGTCACCTATCTTCCAGTTCAGTTATAAATTTTTAAAATCAAGCCATTCTTACTATGTTACATCATCCATTTTAATTGTTTTGCAAACCACATGTGAGGCCGCCTCTCTTCAGTTTCTTCAAATGGCCCTTCTCTCTTACCTCTAAGTCTTCCCTCTGACCATTTCTTACATCCAGAACTGCTTCTCTGTCAGCATTTCTCCATCTCATTTAATTTCAAAAATTGCTTCTTCTACAAAGCGGACAACACAGAACCACCTGTAATGATGCTATCTTGAGTACTTTGTGTACTTCTGATGAGTTGCCAATAAATGTCAGTGTGGCCAATGAGAAAAATGCAAAAGAAAGGCAGAGGTGTTCGGTGGAGATTTTTTTTTTAAAGGAAAACGTAGGATTCATGAGAGCACTTGGTTCTCTTGAATAAACCTGGAGAAAAGAATGCGAAATTTTGTGCTTTGTTTTTGGGTATTATCGCTGTTTATGTGACACTGAGCAAGTCAACTTACTCCATCCTCTGTTTCAGCTACAGAGTGGAAAATACAGTGTTGCCAATCATTTGGAGAGCTGTAACACTGTTCTCTTCCAATTATTTTTTCATCAATATCATTGACCTCATCATCATTATAATCCTAATATTTACAGAATATTTACTCAGCGCCAGGCACTGAGGTGGTATGTTATATGCCTTAGCTGTTTAACCTTCATAGCAGTTCTGTGAATAGGTCCCCCTTCTTTTCATAGGAGGAATCCACTGATAGAGATTTTGTTACTTGCTCAACTAGTTAGTGGTGGAGCCATATTTAAACCTTAATTCTTAGAGAATTACTTCTCTGAAATACCAATCTATCTTCCCTGTCTACAATTCTCTGATCATTTCTTACTGCATATGAAAAAGAAAACAACATTGGGTCTTAGCAACACTGGAAGACCCTTCCAAATTTCTGTCCAATTTACTTTTCCATTCCCCTCTTTTTCTATTCCCCTGTCCCCTCACATTTGTCCTATATTTCACTTTGAAAGACCTATTTATTTCACAAATATATCATATTTTCACACATCTGAGCCTTTGTTTCTGTCCTTAGAATGCTTTCTATTTGTCTCCTCGCAAACTCCTGTTCATCCCCCAAGGTCCAGCTCAAATGGTCTATACTCTATGCAAATCATTCCAAAAAAAAAAAAAAAACAAAAAAAAAACCATTCCAGATTTTCTTAGGCAGAGTTAGTGACTTAGTACTCTGTTATTTTGTCTGTTTTTCTGCTCTAGTCTTTTACACTGCTTAATAATTATTTACTTACATGCCTTTCCTGCTTTAATATGAATGTTGAAATACAATATGGGAATGCAACATTTTTACAGACATGTTTTTAAACATAACCAAAATGAAAAATCTGTGTAATTAAAATGACATTGTTTCCCTTTTTTTCCCCCCTCAGCATAGGGCTACTTTCAAATTTGAATCAACAGATGAAGATAAAAGAAAGGTAAGCCTTGGTGTGTGTGTGTGTGTGTGTGTGTGTGTGTGTGTGTGTGTTTCATTCATGGACTCTCTAAACAGTGAACTTGTTTTCATCTGATGATTGTTTAGTTTTTGGTTTCCTTTCACTTTGCTTTTAGGAATGCTAAGAAGAAGACAAGTACCAGGGTTAGTATGGATTACACACACCTTTCTCCTCTTCCATCCCCATAGGACCATTATACTTGCATAAATCAGGGGAATGGGAAGGGTTCAGAGGGGACTGTCCCGTGTGTTCTCACCTCCAGAGATTGACTTTATTTGGTGGCAGAACTGTAAGCTGCCCAAAATGCATTGCTAATATTGTGAAGCTTGGCTTTGGGTTAAGTTTTGGGAAAGCAGCTGCTTGTGCTGTTGCTCCTCAACCACACATTGTTCCCCGTACTGGCAGTAATTTATATTGTTGTCAGCAATTGTCTTGGTCACTGACTTAACAGGCATAGAGAAAAATGGAGTCAAGAGCCTCACCAGTAGGGGAGTTATTATAAGAAAAGGTGAATCAGAGGGGCACCTGGGTGGCTCAGTCGGTTAAGTGTCTGCCTCTTGATTTTGGCTCAGACCATGATCTCAGAGTCTTAAGATTGAGTCCTGCATTGGGCTCTGCAGTAGGCTTAAAGCCTGCTTGAGGTTCTCTTTCCCCTTTTCCCTCTCTCTAAAAACAACCAAAAAATAAAAGTAAATAAATAAAAATTTAAAAAGATTTTATTTATTTATTCACTAGAGACACACAGAGAGGCAGAGACACAGGCAGAGGGAGAAACAGACTACCCGCAGGGAGCCCAGTGTGGGACTTGATTCTCGGACCCTGGGGATCATGCCCTGAGCTGAAGGCAGATGCTCAACCACTAAGCCACCTAGGCATCCCTAAATAAATAATTTTTTTAAAGGGTGCATCAGAGATATGACCATGTAGTTTATGTTTGCCTTTTGGGGTTGCCTGTGGTTGCTTTTATAGCTGATTAGAGCATGATGCTAAAGAAGAAGCTCACTAGCTTCCCTTGACCATTTTGCTGGGCAAAATGACTGGGCACCTGGGTGGCTCAGCAGTTGAGCGTTCACCTTTGGCTCAGGGCGTGATCCCAGAGTGCTGGGATCGAGTCCCACATCAGGCTTCCTGTATGGAGTCTGCTTCTCCCTCTGCCTATGTCTCTGCTTCTCTCATGAATAAATAAATAAAATATTTAAAAAATAATAATGTCAAGACCAAGTGAGAGAATATGTCTGAACCAGTGTAAACCTACCACTGCTGCTGAAAAAATAGCTTAAAACCAGTGCTTTGCTGGGAATAGTCTGATAATACCTTGAAATCATCCCTTTACCTCCACCCCTACCCCCACCTGATGTCTACATTTCACTCATTTTACCTCTTAAGATTCCTACCATCCATTCTCTCCTTAATCCCTGCCCTAATTCACACCTTCATCTGAGTTACTGTACCAGTTTCCTGACTGTTCTTTCTTTTTCCAGTTATGTGCCCTTTCAGTCTGTTGTCCATAATTCTAAAACAACAGTATAATCATATCACTCCCAACCTTAATACCCATGAGTGACTTTCTTTGCCTATAGAATAAAGTCAAGCGTCTTAACATGATATAATACATGTCCAGTGATCTGATGTCTGTCCACTTTTGCAGTCTATTAGATACTACTCTCTATTGTATTTTATGCTTTAACAATATAAAATATTTCCAGCTACATACATATCTGTATCCCTTCTGCTTTCTTTCTAACTTTCCACATGTTGTGTTCTACCTAGAATACCCTCTCCTTCTTTATATACTACTTCCTCTTTTCACCTGGTTAATTCCCACTCAGCTCTAGGAGCACCTCCTTTAGGAAGCCTCCTCTGGCATTCTATCAGGGTGAAGTAGGGTGAAGTATCCCTCTTCAATAGTCCCATAAAATTCTATGTAAATCTCTAACATTATGTTTGTACATTGTCTCTTCATTATATATTGAGGTCTCTCATTGATAGACCCTGCAAACTCCAATGATAGATACTATTGCTTATGTTTATATCCTCGACATCTAGAATGCCCAGCACATAGTAGGTTAGCCAAAAAGTATTTATTGAATGAGTGACATGGAGTATAAACTTTGAAGGGTAAAGGTTTAAGTCTGATTTTCTTTTGGATACTCTGGTTTCTCTTCAGATCACATAAATCTTTTGCCTTTTACTGATTTTCTTTTGGATTTGAATAATGTAAACAAGACTCAAGTACCTTGTAGAACTAATTTGCAACTACGGTTATGCTGTTTGAAGAGTCTGTTCAAGATAGGCCTGCTCAGGCCTGACCCCTTATCTACTGAGTCAGAATTTGCTGAGTGGAATCCAGGCATATGTATTTTTATAAATGGTCTTTGGGAAATAAGTACTCACACATTGGGTGGGAGTACAAAATGGCACAATTCCTATGGAACAGAAACTGGCACTATCTACCAAAATTACAAATGCATTTTGCCCTTTGACCGAGCAACATCACTTTTAGAAATCTATTCTGTGGATAGCTTCAACCCAAGTAAACATAGTTATTCATTGAAAATTGTAAATAATAGCAGAAGATTAGAAACTAACAAGTGTCCAGCAATTAGGGAGCATTTGAAGAAACTAGGGTACATCTACATAATGGAATACTGTGATGTAGTAAAGAGGGGGGCGGGGGAGAGGGAGAAAGATAGGTATGTGCTAATGGGAGAGTTAAATGAAAAAAAAGGAGTAAGGTGTTAAAAAGAACAATTTTGATACATTCATGATAGGTGTTCAGGCTAGGGAGGCAGCTGCTATTTTTATTTTATTTGAGAGAATTTATACTATATCTGTTGATTCACTGTACCTTGGGATTCTGACACTAGAATCTTTGATAGTGCGCTTTTACTGGTCAAAATAAGCACAATAAGACAGATTCTCCGTACTCCATATAAGTTTCAGTTGATGGAGAATAATTTCCCATTTAGTTTTAATTTAAGCATGTGTGTTTTCTGTAGGATAGTAGCAAAACCTAACATTTCAAAGTGTTGTCTTTTACTGCCTGCTAGATCTTTGGAGACAGTAGCTTCTGTGCTGGTATTATTTTCAGTGACTCTGTGTAGATTCCTGGGAGATCTGATATAAACATAAGCAGTTAGGGACCTAGTTAGCTGTCTTATTAATGGAAAAAGATGGGCAAACAAAATCATTTTAGTCTCTGAGGGTTAAAATCATTAGTGACTCTGTGTAAGGCCCTAAGACTATCGGAATACTCTAAAGGATCTACATCCTAACAGCTTTTTAGGTTCTCCGTGTAGAGAGACATAGAATAGTAGGCATGTCTCGACATTAAACCCAGTCTGAAATTAAGAGGAACTCAAGTTACTGTCTAATTTGTTTTGCTGCCCTAGTATTCTTCTCTTTCCTAAACGTGTCTCTGGAGCCTTCTGCCACCAGCTCCGTGGTAACAGCAGCGCCCCTTTTGATAAACTAACTACAGGTGCTGTCTTTCTGAAAAACATACCTTTCTTCTGAAAAGTTTTATGACCACTTAGAAGTAAATGTAAAGGAATAGACAGAACCTTTCAAAAAATAAAACATGATTGTACTGTGTTTTTTAGGAAATGGTTATAAATTAATGATCCTTAGGCCTAATTCCAAACACTTACGTAGTGTTTTGCATTTTTACAAAGATTTACTTTGCAACAGTAATGCAGCAATTCTGTAAGTCTGGTGAGAATATCACCAATCCTATTTTATAGATAAGAAAACTGAGGCTTATGTTAATGATAACTTGCTAACACTCACATAACTAGTAAATGGCAGATCCTCAAATAGAGAATGGATTTTCTGATTGTAAAGTGCAGTTCTGCCACTGCTCAGTGCTCCATAGCTGCCACTCATTCCGACTTGAGATATATTTTCAGAAGGTTTGAAATTGTGACCCACTACCTTGTTTTATCTCTTATTCTTGAGAAACCATTTAGGCAACCAGACTTAAATTGGAAAATAGCAAAGGAAATTACCAAAAAGGAGAGCTTAAGTTTTTCTAGAGAAGTAAAGTCAGATACAACTGTTATTTTGCATATAATGCAAATAGTTCCAGGTGCATATGAATCATTGTATAGTTAGATATAAGCACCTGTGCTTATTGAAGCATTTGCCTTATATCCTCTACCTCTAGGCTGTGATTGTTTACCTGCACAAAACAAATACACCATGCAAATCGGTAGGATGGAGGGAAGTAATCTGAAAATTTACATCTTGAGGAAATGAAAGCTCTTATATTTGGCTTCTAAAACACAACTGATCTCCACACCGATAAAGAGTACTAATTGCAATAAATGTTGAAACATACATGTCGTTTAATGAGTAAAAAAATTGCAGCTCTTTCACCTGTGAGATAAGAATACAGCCATATCAAATATAGAAAACCTCAGTTGTCTAAGATAAATCTTTGTGTACATAGTGATTTTCCTCAAAAGAATAAAGTAAAAAATAGCCAAATTTCAAGCATTTATCTCATTACCTTTAAACTCGTATAGATAAGCCCATTTTCTATAAAGGCAGAGGATAATTGCTGAGTTGAGAACTCTTAAGAACAAGAACTCTGGCTTAGTTTTCTTTACATATATATTTCAGCCTCCCAGATGGCAGAAAATAGGCACCTATAGTAAACACCTGTTAAATAAATGGAGGGACTTGTAGATTGAATGGGAGCCAGAATTACAACGACTTGTACATATTGTTTGACTTTGATATTTTCTTAATTACACAGAATCTCAGTGTAATGTTATTTACGGGAAAAAATGGATACAAAAGCATTCAAACAGTATGATCACAGTCATGTAAAAGTAATAACTATACAAAGAAAAATGATCATAAGGAAATTTACTAAATTTACTAAATGGTGGCTATCTGAATATTATTACTGTAGGTGATATTTTTCCCTTTTCTATATTTAAATAGAAAATTACAGTAGATGATAGTGATTTAAGAAT